CTTCATTTTGTCCTTAGGGAGTAAAGTCTGTTTCAGAGGATTCACAGTGCAGATTGAGCAAATGTTTTGTTGCCACTTAATTTCTTTTACTGGAAGGTCATGAGGTCTTTTACAGTACAGGGCAGCCTGTGGTTTCTTATCTTCGCTCTATCAGAAATTGACCTCAGGGCCCAGTTGTTCAATTAAAGGCTAATTAGTGCTAACCCAGGGTTAAATTTTAACCTAGGTTTCTTTTTGTTTTGTTTAAAAACATTTTCCTGGATAATTTTCTTGATTCGTTTTAGAGCATCTAATCATCAAATGGTAAACAAAAAGAAAGAAACTTCATGAGCTTTTTCAGCTTTCATGCATATCTGAATTGAAATTTCGCACTAACCCTGGGTTATCTTAACCCTGCTTTGAACAACCCAGCCCTCATCGCTAGCTGAATATGCTAGTAATTTCCTTTCTTTTTTTTCAAAAGTGGCTTAAAAACCTTTAGGGTTTGTTTCCATTCTTTCCTGCAGAGTGTTGGATCTGATTTTTAGTATAACAGTATATAAGAGGTTCCCTGGTATAGTTTTGACAGGCTGGACACAGCTCTTTAGCATTGCTTGCAGCATTGAAGCTTCTTTTAAAGCTACCTTACTCTTGTAGTATAAAAAATTGCACTGCCACTCAGTCAACAGTGCTGCTTGCATCAGTCAAGACTGTTCACAGTCCTCTATTTTTCCGTAAGGTCGCCGAGATCGAGCGCTATGTGTTGCGGGCTGCCATCTTGCATGAGTGTCAAAACTACTTAGGGGGTGAGGGCCATTTGGGAGGAAGCGAGAAAAATAGAGGGACTGTAATAACATCACTGCAACTCGCCTTCAGGAGGCGTGACAGGAATTTCACGCCTTTTACAATTCATTAATTAAGAAACTCCGCTGGTGATAAAAAACATGCCAGACACATTTAGCATTGATTACGCATGTTTACAAATATCTCCTTTCGAAACAGTGATTTTATAATGTTTCTGGGCCATTCCTTGAAATAAAATCGGCAAACATGCACAAGAAAACATTTTCCTAATCAAAATACCAAAAATCCTTTGTGTGTTTGCGCAAGATGTGCCTTATGGTATGAAAGTGTACATTTTAAGGAAAAGTCAACTTTTCAACGACTTGTCAATGTCGGAAACTTAGACTAAGCCCGTTGTCTACCAAAAATTAACATCCATTGTCTAATGACCAATCAAATGCCTGCGTTGCTGGTACAACACGCTCCATGAACGCGAGCTGCAGTGATCTTATTACAGTCCCTCTATTTTTCTCGCTTCCTCCCAGCCGCCCCCGCCCCCTAAGTAGTTTTGACACTCATGCAAGAGAGGCTCTCTTCACTGGCTCTTACACACACACATGCTATCTAACATACATGAATCTGAAAGAAGTCATTGATCTGTTTCTAAGAAGCACTCAAGGAAGATCTTGAGCTTGGCACACTATTGAATTACAGATTATGATGATATGATGCAGACTAAGCGAATAATACGGATTTCAATCTTTCTTTCTTTTATTTTTTCTTTTAAATAGTGATATTGACATTGTCATTCTAAAAGGTTGTAAAATAAAATAACCTCTTTGAAAAAAAAAGAAATTTTGAATTTTAAGTGTTTGAGAAATACTCATGTTATTCAAAAAGCTCGCAATGCAGTCTATGACAACCTAATGTCCCCCCCTCCCCCTCCCAGAGACTTGTGCCTCGGCCTCTTTCAGTCCATCGCCTTGTTGGATTGCACTTCCCTGCCAAAAAATCTGGCTGCGGGCCTGCTTATTGTCATTCATCATCCCACGACTGACATGTTTAGGGAGGTGGACAAGACTTGGACTATCCATATTGACTACTCTAGCTAAAATGGACTACGCTGCTAAAGTTGAGTCAAAAGTAAAAAAAAACAAACAGGGGTGATAAACATAGTGAACTTTTGCATTTTTAATTATGTGAACGTGATGTTTCTTATACTAGTCAACATACATTTTCAAAAGTGATCTTAAGAGACTCTTACAGATGTTGACAAGACTATTTATACAAAATTGACAAGGGGTCTGGAAAAGAGATTTAGAATTCAAAAATTCTTAACAGTGACCTATTATATAAGGCAACAGCAATTTTTTTTCTTTTTGAATTCTTATAAAAACATAAGGCCCTAACCATATATAAAAATGTGAAAGTTCACTATGTTTATCACCACTGTCTGTGTTTTATTTTTGATTAAGCTACGAGGGCCAAAGAACAAACGTCTTTATTTAATTTGCGGAGGGTTAGGAAACAGAGTGAATCAAGTTTTAGGTCAGTTTTTCCACTATAATGATCCTAAATGGAACCTGATTCGCTCAGTTTCTTAACCCTAATCACAAAACTTCCGCGGCATAGTCCACTTTAGGGTTGTCCATATAGTCCATGGACTGGCGGTCAGTGTTTTGTTTACCACCTATGTTTAGAACCTTCCTTTCTCTTAAATCTTGTTTGTGGAATTAAATAGAGTTAAAGCATTTCAAGTAAGCAACTTAGACCAAAGCAAAGCAACAGCTTATGTCACCAAGTAAATTTTAAATCTATTTATTAAGCTTACATCCACAAAATCATTCAGTGTCCCACGCATCAGTATATGTGACCCCACAAAAAGAGTCTTAAGTTTAAAGGAATTACGATCCAGGGCTTAACTGCAGAATACCTTGCCACTTTAAAGCAACCCTAATTATCCAGAAGATTCTTACTGACCTGGAGTCCTCTAAGCTGATCTCTTTCGAGTTTTTCGATCGATTTCTCGACTTCTTCCTTCACACGTGTTTGAGCTGCACTGGCCGCCATATTGGAAAGTTACAAAGGACTGGACACAAGTGAAGCTTAAGTGAAGCAAACAAAGCAGACATTACCTCAGACATTACCTGACTTGTCCGGTAGGTGTAGGGATAGGGGTCGGGTGGGTAGGGTAGGTCTTGAGCGACGTCGGAGAGAAATCTTTGGCTGAAAAAATTCAGTGTTTCATTCCTCATCAACGCAGAAACGAATCCCTTTCTTCTGTCTAAAACTGGGTAACATTTAATAACTGCATGAATAATCTTCTCTCGAGGGGGGGGGGGGAAGGTAGGCACTCCTAGGAAGTCCTGGTCAGGGTGTGCCGCCCGGTTCTCCAAATCCTGAGTCTATTTCAGACCAAAAATGTAACACCCGTTTTCAGACCAGCCCTCTACAATCCACACCTGTTTTCAGCTGGCCCTTAGGCAGAAATTATGTTGTTATTACTGAGATTTATCACGCAAACAAAAAAATCCTATACCTGTTTTCAGACCAAAACGGCGCAAAAACCCCTACCAGATGGGGCGTCACATACGTACATGTATTCATATAGCTTATAAAAAGGCATACACCCACCCCCCGCCCTGGAGCTTACTTAGGACAAAATTGGTTGTAAATCCCAGTCAATCGAAGTAACAAAGCATGTTCAAATACACTCCATTTACTTTTAATAATTTATTAGGGTGGGGTAGAAAAAATTTTTTTTTTATTCTTGAATTTAAAACACAAAACAAAAAAAACCCAACCCGTTTTACAACCCAAACCGCGCAAAAACCCCCCACAGAGTGGGGCGTAACAACCGTCATGTATTTTAAATAGTTTAAAAAAAGGCTTCCCCCCCCCCCCCCGCCTGGAGTCTTCTTTGGACATAACTGTTCGTAGATCGCAGTCGATCGTAGTTACTCAGCCTGTTCACAGACCCTCCATTTTCTCTTGAAAGTCTGTCGAGGGCGGGTGATAAAATATAAACCGCAGGGGATTTATTGACTGCCAGCACAAGGGAGTAGTGGAGGGGGAAGAAGAATTTTTCTTTCTCGCACTCTGCGCTTGTTCTTGCGCGCTTACGAGCTCGCCTATGTTTTCGAAAAGAACAAAAAGAAAAAGAAAACAACGTCTGTGTACAGGCTAGTATTTCCCCTTTCTATTCCTTGGACATAATTGGCGGACACGATCACATATGCGAGCCCAAAATAATTTAATGCAAGAAGAGGTGAACTGTGATACTATGAACTGTTCGTGTCTGCATCCGCAGGCTCATTTTAAAAAATTATACACATCTTTCAAATTCACAGGAAAAAACACACACCAACACAAGAAGCCATTTTTATGACGGCATAACTCTTTTGCTAAGACTACTGGAAAAAATCACGATGCACAAGAAAAAAAATCTTGAAGCATTCTGGTGACTCAAGTAAAAATGATACCAACATGAAAAGCAATGAGTAGGATTTTATTCTAGATTTGTTGAAAAAAACCAGTCTGCTGCCTGTTAATACTTTAGTACATTATAGGGATCACCACAGTCTACTGAATCTAGTGCGGGAATGTCCCAGCCCAACAAAATAAGCAAATTTTGATATATTAAAATTCTTATTTGGCTACGAAGCTTTGGGGAATATTTAACAATTATTCCTCGAGCCTGAATGGGCTCTGAGTCAATAGCCCTTGAGGCCGAAGGCCGAATGGGTTATTGACTCAGAGGCCATGAGGGCGAGAGGAATAATTGTTTTAGTAAAATCCAACTAGTTGGTCAAAAATATCGAGAATAAAAAAAATTTAGCTAGTTAAAGCTAGACTTAATCCTTTTTTGCCGTCAAAAAGCGTGCGCTTTTCGCTACTAGTGGGCTATAACATATAGCCTAGTAGTAGCTGAACCAAACAGAACGCAGCATTGATAATAGACTACTAGTTGGATTTTACTAATAAACAAAAGAAATGCTTATATATTTTGGAGCGGGCACTAATTTAAGCATTTATGGTATTTCTTCAGGAAAATGGGCAGCCACCCCCCAAAAAGGAATTCTAAACTTTTGTAAAGCTCTGGCACTGATACATTATAACTCCAGTTTTCTGTTCTTTACAAAACCATCAACATATTCAAAAGGAATACAAGGCAAACCTAAGTTATTGAATTTAACTGTGCAAATTTTCCAGCTAAGCTATAAATAATATTATGCATTTTAATGCATGCTAATGTACTTCTCTAGTGTCTTGGGCACCACCCCCAAATAAGGAATTCCAAACTTTTTGACAGCTCTGGCTGCGATACACTTTAACTCCAGTTTTCTTCTCTTCATGAGAATCATGCGAGCTTCATAACTTTCAGCCATTTTTGTGGGTGTTTTACCATCACTGTTGACAAAATCATGATGAGCACCGCCATTAAACAAAACCTGCAACATGTCAGTCATGCCATCATTCCAGGGTTTAAAAGTGACAGCTAAGTGAAGTGGAGTATCCCCGTACTTATTTACACCATTAACATCGAATCCTGCATTCAAAAGAAGTTTCAATGCATTAGTGCATGAATGCGAAAAGTTGTAGATATGATGTCTTACAAAATAGTGTAACAGTGTATTCCCGTTATAATCTCGAGGATTTGACTTACAAATAGTTTTGAACAAAACTGCTGCATTTGAGAGTTTTTCCTCTTTATCACACATAAGTTGGTTCATCACATTAACAACTCTGAAGAAGGAATCAAACAAATCCTCATCTCGTTCTTTTGTCACTTTTCTTTGCATCTCATTGAGATGATCAAGAACTGTTTGCTCCAGCAATTCAGTGAAAACCTTGTCTTTGGGAAGATCACTGTCCAACCAGCTTCGCAATAAACTGGTGATATGATCTAAATCACCTATAGCTGACTGATCGCAGTACTGGGCTATTTTCATTGCATGTCTGTACAGCATTATACATACTGAAAAACTGCTCCTGTGTTTATAGTAGTTAGCAGCAAATCTAATTGGTTCAAGTAGTTGTACATGGTTTCTTCCAAGGACTCTTTCTCTAAGAACAAGGCTTTCCATGATGATAGCATTTTTGTCACCTTCAATTTGAGCAAGCTCCTCAAGAGTTTGACTCTCTTTTCTGTTCTGATAAGCTTCAACAGGTTCCATCTGCCTTTTTAACAAAGGATGAGTAGGATCAGCAAACCTTTCTAACATGCCACGTTCAATGTACTTGAATCCATTTTCAACATCATCAACGTCAAAGTCAAGACATAAAGAAGATCCAAGAAGCTCTAGAGCATCAATTCTTTGCTCTTTGGTTATCTCTGGTTGCTTGATCAAACATTCTACTATTTCTATATTGCCTTCATTACTGGTGTCCAGAAGGGGTGTTAATCCTTGACTGTTTTCACATAGTAAGGATGATCCAGTAGTTAACAATTTGCACAAATTTGCAGATGTCGCCTTTTCAACACGTGCAGCGTAATGAAGGGCTGTGTCACCATTTTGGTCCTGAAGCTCCACCTTAGCACCATGCTCAATGAGCAAGGTTACTTCTTCCACATCACAAAATTGGCTAGCTTGCATCAGAGGGGTACATTTGCGAATGTCAGCTGTGTTGACATCAGCTCCATATCTGATCAATGAACTCAAATTGTCAAAACGGTTGCGTTCACTGTATGTAGCAAGGTAAAGGGCTGTTTGACCATCATCGTCTTGAAAATCCACATAAGCTCCATTTTGAAGAAGACAGTTCACTAAATGTCCATATTCACAGGCCAGCATCAAAGGGGTGCGGTTGTCATCTGTCAGTGCATTGACATTAGTCCCACTATCAATCAAACAGCTTAGGGCATTATTATTACCACTAAAAGTAGCAGCATAATGCAGAGCTGTATAACCAGAAACGTCTTCCAGATTCACCTCAGCTCCTTCATCAATAAGGTAGAGTACTGCATTAAGTTTGCCATTTTCACAGGCGACCATCAGAGGTGTTAACTGCTCATACACTTCTCCTGACCGCGAGTTGACATCAGCTCCACCTTCAACCAAACAACTCAAAATATCCACATTTCCATTAGCTGCAGCAACAAACAAAGGAGTGCAACGTGGGTAGTAACCATCTATATAACCTCCTCGTTCTTCAATTTCTGCTTTGTACTTGAGAAGTATTTTCACACACTCAAGATTTCCACTTTGAACAGCAAGGATCAATGGCGTTGTTTTCAGTTGAGGTCTAGCACCATTATCATAATCATGGTACCAATCAACAGCAAAAATGGAATCATATTTTCTGTAATACGTCTCCAGAAATTCCTTAAGAAACGCAGCGTCTCCACGCCTTGCAGCTTCAAAGAAAGCTTGACTTGTCTCCCAATAAAATGGGCGCTCCATTGGGCTTCATTCTCTCCCCTCGTGCGCCACGTTTCGTTTTCGATGTCAGTTATTCAGGTTCATAGCGTGATTGAGAGGTGCAGCAAATATTCCAGCAACAAGGAATCGAACAGGGAAGCGACAAAGAAAGTCCTAGCCTCCAAACGCAGGTAGACGTTCACAATAAATACAAGAGTAGACGGAGAACCAGTGACGGGGAGCCGACTTCAAGTACGTTATGTCAAGCCATCATATAGTTGTCCATATAATTAGCAAAACATCTCAGTTGAATCTCAGGAAAGAAGAGCATCTCAAGCAAGCAAAGCAACTGAAAAAGTAAGCAAAGCACCTCAAGTAAGCAAAGCATCCCAAGAAAGCTGAGCATCTCAAGCAAGCAAAGCAACTGAAGTAAGCAAAGCACCTCAAGTCAGAGGGCACCCACACTAATCTGTTTGTGTAGCCGATTGTTATTAGGAACAATCAACGGCGAACTCAAACTCCTTCAAAATCGCTCAAAAAACCGCTTTTAAGGTAAAAGGACGACTATATACCACAGGTAAGGTAATTCAACGTTTATTTATCATTGATTTATATACATTTCAATTCAAAGTAGACAGAGTGCAAATTATAGTAGTTGCTAAAAAAATATATCTACGTGTCCCAACTGTTCATCAGTAGGATGCCTAAAATGCGTGCAATTCCACAATTGGTTTCGGCTCCATTAAATCTATACCAATTGCAGAACATTTTAGGAGGAGCCACCCACCGTGTGAGCACACAGACAACACATATAAGTGAGGAAAATAACGCAAAGCAAAACTAAGACGTTATTAAACGAACTAAATGTACATAGCCTGTGTACAGACGTCCCCCCTCCCTCAGCAAAAATCGGGTCTCCTCTCCCGATTTTTCCTGAGGGAGGGGGGACGTCTGTACACAGGCTAAATGTACACGCAACTTAAATAAATAAATAATGCACGCGCCCAAAATTAAATTGCATGCGCACACGTACCAAAATACATTTAGCGATATATCGGTATAGGTGAGGCAAACGGTAAATCCAGTACATTTACTATAAAATAACAATCACCTACACTAACAGATTGTGTGGGTACCCTGTGCTCAAGTGTGCAAAGCATCTCAAGCAAGTAAAGCAAGCCCAAGCAAACAAAGCACCTCAAGTAAGCAGAGTAACTTAAGGAAGCAAAGCACCTCAAGTAAGGAAAGCATCTCAAGTAAAGCGGCATAAGACGAATTAAATGGACAACTGTATGATGGCTTGACATGAGGTACTTCCCTGAGGGCATTGGGCAGTGTCATGCTGTTGCCACGTCAGCAGAGAACCACAGGAATCACAAGCGCACTCTGATAAAACTGTTAAACAAACATGACAAAAGGTGCATTAATGAGAAAAATTGTTCCCGTCAATAAAACCCTTTGTTGAAATATTGCAATTGTGAAACCTAGGAAAATGAAAAAATAAAAATGAGACAACTTCAGCTGAAAAAACAGTTAGATGCCCAGTTTGATGATTATAAAAAGATTTGAAAATTCTAAATCCAAAGAATATGTCATTCTAAGACCACCCATACGGTAATAAAGTGCAATGCTTACGAAACCTGTCAGACTTCTTTGTTGTACATTTTTGTTCACTTTTTTGGACTTGACGGCGGACAACGTTCATTATTTTTACATAAGCTCGGATTCCTTTGTTCTTTTCGGGGGGATATATTACATAACCCCCGAATCAACTGTCTGAAAAGCTGGGTTCGGCTTTGATTGTTTGAAGGGAAGAGCGGGGCTAATGAACAGCTAATTAAAATGCGAGGGGATTATGTATTAATATGCAAGGGGGTTAAAGGGCTATGTCAGCTGGAGAGCATGCGCTCTGAGGTTATGCAAATTACTTTCAACTGTCAAAATTCTATTGTTTTTAGCGCGTGACTTTCTCCATGTGCGCTCTGAGGTTATGCAAATTACTTTGAACTGTCAAAATTCTATTGTTTTTAACGCGCACGTGACTTTCTCCACGTTCTCTGTCACGTCCCGGGGGGGGGGGGGCCCTTGGGTTTTTTTTGGGGGGGTATGTACCGCCTGGGACTCCAAATTGGC